TATATATATATATATATATATATATATATAAGCTTCAAAAAAACTTTAAAAAAAAAGGAAAATAAAATAGAAAACAAGCATACTAAAATAATAGTATTGAGCAATCCTTGTTCTAGTACGAGTACTATTTATTTTTAGGCTATGGCTAGTAAAGATACACAACTTACAAATTGGATCAGTTTTTAAATTATACGGACGTTTTAATATTTCTTTATTATTGTTGGAGTGATTATTTTTCATTCTGAGACTATAACACCACTTTCACCTGCCACATCATAGAAACGTAAGCGTCACATCAAAATCATGTAGGTATCATTTCATTAATTTTTTACTTATTCACTATTTTTTAAAAAACACTTTTGAAAATTAATTATATGAATTGATTAATTTATAAATGTATACCCCACCCCTCTCTTTCTTCTTCCTTGTTGTTAACCATCATTCCAACCTTCAATACTTTTTTTTCTTCTTAAGTCAATTTAAAGAAGAAAGTTCATTATAATATTCATAATATCTTCTTTGAACCCTTCCAACGAATTATCCACTTGGAGAATGGATTTTTTTGAAAGCCAATATTTTCTTGACAACTTAAATAAAAAATGAAGATTGCATAAGAAAGTTGATCAAATTTTTTTTAATGAGAAATGTTTGAATGAATCTAGAAATTAAAATGGGCCACTCAAAATTTAAGAAAATTTACATTTGCCAAATCGATACCAATAATATAGAGTGAAAATCGAGTTCAATAAATTGACATTGATATTGAATTTTAAGAATTAGTAAAAGACTAGTGAAATGAAAATAGAGGATAGAGGTGGGATGAAGATGGATAAGGAGATGTTTCAATGGAAAAAGATGTGTATTGAAGAGACAACAAAATGAAAAGAAAAAAAAATTAAAGAAATTAAAAAGGAACCCACTAATTTCATTTATCTCTTATTAAGAAAATTTACATATTTTAAAGATTCAATATGTATATTAAAAAACTATTCAAATAATTTATTATGTGTAGGCCAATAAAAAGAGGTCATGTGTAGGGCTTTAAAAATTTATTTATTTTTCATAGTCTAAACCAATGTAAAACTAACGAACAAATATTCAATATTATTGTCATTCTTAGTATTGAATTGATTTTTTTTTGCATTAGTATTAATTTGATTTTGATTTAAGTTTTACTATAACTGTCAACATTTATGAATAATAATCTTTATTGAACCATTTCGAATTTTAATTTTTAAACTTGAAATAATATATTAAAAAATAAAAATTATGAAATAATATAAGAAATATTTTAAAATGATATCAAAGTACTTTAATATAATCTCAAAAGTGAAAATTGAGTTTAAAAACATATAAACTAACATAGTTTTCAAATTTGAATATACCTTCAAGTTTGAAAAGTTGTATTTCAAATTTTCATGATCAAATATTAATTTTCAAATAAAATAAAAATAATTTTTAGATAAATTTTAAAAATTAAAATTAAAATAATACGAAATAAAATGGTGAAAATTTTTAAAGTACTATAAATGAAAAATGGAAGAAAAGAAATAGAAATGATTTTAGTGATCAATTTTATGATATAAGTGACGGTTTAAAGAATTAAGTTGAACTTTTGTATGCTCGTGCCTTTTTAAATTAATGAAAAAATATTTTTTTAAAAAAATTTTGACTACAATAATTAGATAAAAAAAAACTATTTTCATATGTACAAATGATAGAGTAATTAAATTTATTTCAAAATAAATTTAAAGAAAAAAAAAGAGGAAAGAGAAAAACAAAGAAAGAAAAATAAGAGAAAAAGAAGAAAATAAAGTGCTGGTCACATGTTCAAATATAATCGTAATAAAGTACTTTTTCATACAACTAATATAAATTATATACAACTAATATAAATTGTGCCTCGTACACAATAAAATTTTTCCTATAATGTCATGGTTATTTCATCTTGCCTAGTTGCGTATGACCCCCAATGATATTGTTGTTTTAACTTTTGACTCACATTTATGGAAAAGGAGGTCTGTTTAAAAAAATGTTCCTATTCTCTTTTTAGTTTGTTTTAAAAAGAATGTTTTCTTTTCTTTTTTCGATAATATTTTAGTTGTAACTTTTCACGTGACATGTTTAAGACCACAAGATTAAGGACGTTTTGATAGATTTGACATAAGTTTAATTAGAAATCACAAGATTAATAAGTCTTATTTCTTTTGTTAAACTCTGTTCCAAATCAAACTAGGTCATTCTTTTTTAAAAGGAGAGATTATACACTTTAGCTAGTGAAATTTGTACCACTATCGTATACTTTTTTTTTAAAAGTTATAATATTTAATTTAAATTAATAGTTTACTAGTTTATACAATTTTTTTATAAGAAAATGAGTATAATTAATGATAAGGATAAATTAAAAATTAAATGTAAAAGCATTCACTAATTTTACAAAGCAGATAAATATTATTGAACATCCCTAAATAGTATAATGAAAACTATTGTTGAACAGAGAGAACGATAAATTTCTCGAAAAATGCCTATATATAGTTAATACTAAAATAATATAAACTATTTTTAGAGACTTCCATATGTGAAATTATATATATATTTTAAAATAAAATACATATTCGATAACATATGACCAAATAATTTCTTAACTTTAGAGACAAAGCCAGAAATATAGAGCGGAGCCAGAGAGCATAGTGGTGGGGTTAAAATTATAAATAACAATAGCCATACAATATTTATCAATTAACGAAAAACAGTATAGGTTACAATTAAATAAGAAAATAAATGCTGTTGATGAGGTCAGTCCTTACCTCTATTTATGGACACAATCATAAGGTCCATTTAAGATCTCGCAATCTTAACAAACCTATTTTTTTTATAAAAAAATATATAGAAAAATATTTTGATATATATAATTGATCATATGTACTAGCTAGTAAGTATATTTTGAAATGTTTTCTTTACAAGGAAGTGATGACTTATTAATTCAAATTCTCTCAAATACATGTCAACAGAACAAGAGTTCACTAGATGCAGTAATGGATTTTGCTTCTACGGATACAATTACGCGAACTCATATTCCTCCGAATATTAATTCACAGAAGAAGATAATATCGAAAAGAAAACTGAGTACTCATAGTAATAAAAACGATGGAATTGCTTCAGATGATCATTTCAAGCTTAAAAAAATTATACATCGAGATATTGAACGTCAAAGAAGACAAGAAATGGCTGCGCTCTATTCTTCTCTTCGTTCTCTCCTTCCTCTACAATATGTCAAGGTAATCATTCTTTTTAATTCCATTTTTGAAATAATAATTTGTTTCCAAAGATGAAATCTGCTAATTCAACTCCAAAAGTTAACTAATCCGAGATCTGTTTATGGCTTAATTTTGACAGGGAAAGCGTTCAGTATCTGATCATATGCATGAAGCTGCGAATTACATAAAAGAAATGCAAGGAAACATAAAGGAATTAGAGAAACGGAGAGACTTGCTGATGAAGTCAATTCGACATGGAAATGAAAATGCTGACAAAAATAACAGATTCACAGATTGTACTGTCACAGTTAGCCCCTGGCTGCAGGAAGGTATAGAGATCTCAATCAGCGTCGATTGTGAAGGGAAAACTTTTCCTCTTTCAAAAATTCTGGGTGAGCTTTTGAAACAAGGGCTTAATGTGGTGAGTTGTGTTTCTGCAAAAGCGGATCAAAGGTCACTCTACTCAATTCACACTGAGGTACGTACATGTCTTACTTCACACATTTATCACTTCCCTCTATCTCAATTTACTTGTCTATGTTTCTTCTTTTAGTTTTCTCTATTTATTTGTTCATTTTGATAAATCAAGAAAGAGACAAAAGAAAAATATAATATTGCTATATACCCTGTTTCAAACTTTTTTTTGAAGATTTCTAAGTTTTAATTCATTTTTAAAACCATAATTAAACTTATAATTTCACTATGCTAATAATTTAATTGTTATCTTAAGGAGTACCTATCTAAACTATCACTTCCATTTGTGTCAAAACTCATTTCAATGTTGAGTTGGACTACACGTGTTTGTTGTTGTGTGGGAACAATATTGTCAACTAATCATCAATATATATTGTAATACCAATAAATGATGATTTAGGTAAGGTAAAAGAAACAGTAAATTTTACCGTTCTCTATTAAATTGAACTAATAGCATATTTCTTCTTACGTACATTTTCAATGTAAATAAATTTCAATAGCTAGAATTAATTGGAGAAAAAGGTAGTTCATTTGGGGAAAATTCGCTTGATCATCTGATGTGAGATTCTTCAAAATCATTATCTCTCGTAAATCTAGGACCGAAGCATGGTTGTTGTTGTTATGTTTTGTTATGAATCGTCAATTAACGAATCGATCGATTACCTTCTCTAATAGTAAATCATTATGCATCTTCCTCCTGCAGGCGTGTGATATGAACAACATTGATCACTTGGCATTGCAACAAAAAGTGATTGATATGATCAACCTGGACTTATAGTTCTCAGTTTACAATTAATAACATATCATGCAACTGCATTTCTACAAGCTTTTTACCATGAGGCACATGGTCTGATATTGTCAAAATTAGATTTATTTTTTTTTAAAAAATAAATAAATAAAATTTGGCAGTAATTAGACTTTTTTTATTAAAAATAAATAAAATAAAATTTGGCAGTAGGGTTTTTGGGGGTTTGTAGAGAATGCGTTGGTACAGCTTAATTTCACTAATGGTCTGGTGTTGAAAATTGCGATGTATATAAAGCAATGATGAAAATAAAGGATTTTCTGCATTTCTACTTCATGAGCATACGCGAGTTGATTTTTCAGATGATTATTTAATTAATCACTTATTATTTTAAAAAGTTATATTTCTTTTTTGAGATTTTGGCCAAAATCATTCATAAACTATACCTCAACCTCAAACTACGTCCTAAAAGTATTATTTTTACCATAAAACACTCTTCAAATATTTTAAAGTATACAATTTTCTATCATTCTACTTGAATTTGTCAGAGAACTAATTGATATATCCCACAAAACATAACTCGCCTCTTCCTAATTATTATTCTTAGATATGCCAAGAATATTATCGTGAACTTTTTCGTAATTGAGTTAAGAATTATGTAAAATCTTTTAATTTGACCGTTTTTTCATTCATTTTCATGTTATTTTAATTAAAATATTATTAGTTTAAATATGTTTTTTCTCAATTAAATATGCTAGAAGCGACATTTGTTGGAGATTTCTGCTTCTAATAATGTAGAATGAAACTCAACTATGAGACATAATCAATATTTTGGTCACTTTGATATTAGATTGACCCAAAAACTTATTGATTTAATTGGTTAAGAAAAAGGTAAAATTAATTAATCTCCAACTAAGTAACCAGATCCCCTCACTCGAGTTCTTTGCATTGAGCTCGCTTAGTTCGTATCTTTATCGGTCATTGAAGGAAAGCACAAATCATGTACGCTCACACCTTCCAATCATTTTAGATTCCATAAGCAACGGTGCCTAAGATTTTTTTATATTTTTCAAGAACTACTTTTAGAAAGTAATGAAATTATGCAGAATAACTTTTGTTGATAATCACGTTAACTGCTCATGTTTTCGTAAGATTCCTTAGTTTTTGACAATATCCAGCAAAAGGATGAAAGTTGTTCACTTACAGATACTTAAAAGATGTTTTCTGCTAAAAATGATATTTTAAGGATATAGTTTAAGTTTGAGGTATAGTTAGAGGATGTTTTCTGTTAAAAATGATATTTTAAGAATATAGTTTAATTTTGAGATATAGTTGAAGAATGTTTTTTGCATGGCCGACTCTATGCACTAAAAAATAAGGCCTTTGACTTAGGCCCACAAATTTTGGGAGCCCCCAAATTTTTGTCAAAAATAAATTATGTGTTAATATTTTTATTGAAAAATTAATTATTTATGATAAAAATTATAATTTATTTAAAAAATAAATTATTTTATCCACTTAATATCTTTTTTTACCTTGTTAAAAATGAGAATTAACCGTGAAAAGTATTGCAAAGTGAATTACAAAAATTTCCTTTTATTTCTTTTTAGATTTTAGTTTCAAGCATTACTCTAAATATATAAGGTATACCAAGTCATCACCTTTTTGAGTCAAATTCTGATTCTAGCTCTTTTTTTTTATTTAATATTTATTAACTTATTACTAGTATCATTATGTTAACAATACAAATAATAATTGTTTCACTTAAAAATATTTTTCAATGATAAGTAGATAAAATCATAAATAAAACGGAAAAAAAAACTTAAGTACTAATAATTTTCAACTTAACAGTGTAATTTATTTTTAATAAATACGTATATAAAGTATATTTATATTTTAGACAAAGAATTAAAATTTTGCTAAGCCTCCAATTACGTTAAGCCGCCCCTAATTTTTCGCCAAAAACTCTTTCTTTTTTACTGATAATAATATTAGTTAAATGACTATTGATATATGAACTCTTTGTTTGACTTATAAAAAATAAGTGATAAATGTAATAAAAAATCCACTTTAATTCAATATATCTAAATCCGATACCATGCAATCCATTTTTTATCCCTAAACATGCTGGACAAGATCCTGTTGCATGTTTGTTCAAGTTTAGCTCTAGATGTTTCCAGTGATAATTATTTTTTTTGAAAAAATAACGTCTTAAAGTAGCTAGCTGTCATTTGTCAATGTCTCAATGGTGTTTTAATTTGGCAAGAAAGTCACACACTAAAGTACTTCATTAATCTACATCTTCGATCTAAACATTAAATTTAATTTTAATATTAAATTTAGTGTAATTAACTCAAATTTGTTTTACATTAAATTTAATTTTAGTATCAAATTTAGTGTAATTAACTCTAATTTACTGTATCAAATTTTATACAAAAATTTCTCTTCTTTTTATTATTATATTATTATTTCTTATTTTATTTATATTTTCTTATTTCATAAAATAAATTATTTCTAAAACATTTACCATATATAATTCATATTATCTCCTTTTATAATCGTTTAATATAAAATTATTTTTTTAAATAATATAGATTGCTCGGAAATATTATACATTATACGTAATAAAAATAATACTAATAAAAGCAAAATCACTAATGAAATACAATTAAATAAAGATTACATAATTGAAAAAAATTATAATAAATTCTCATATATATATATATATATATATAACTATATATATGAGAATTTTAAATGTAACTATATACTTAGTACGATATTCAATTTTCGATATACTTTTTTTTTATAAATATAAAATATCATATTAAATACCAAACTTTTTAAAAAGGTGTATCAAAACTCATACTAAACATCTATATCACGATGTGTGAATTTTTTGACTTTAGTATGGTATCCGTATCTACCATACCATGCCCATCTCTACTTGGACCTAACTCTCTTGACCCTGATCCAAGACTTAGGACCTAACTTCAACTTGGAACCCAATTTTCGACCTTGACTTAGGATATGACTCCTTACCTTGATCTATCCTACTCACGGCTTGTTTGACCCATTTGGAAAGTCAAACGAGCCC